GCTAGATCAGGATGTACTGCAGAGCAACCTTCCCAGCTAGATCAGGATGTATTGCAGAAGCAAGCGCTTCACCATCTCCTCCAGCCAGGTGTAGCGTCGCTCCATGAGCTTGGGGTTGCCCTTGAGCCCCAAACCCACTACGACCGTGATGGCCGACTGGTTGTCCACGTGCAGCACGGTCGGCTTCCCAGCGTCGAGCAGCTGGAACTCGGCGAGGAGGAAGCGAAGTCGGCGCGACGTACTCCAATTCGGTTGACAATAGTGCCACTCACTTGATGTGCTGGCTCATCCAGGAGATCGCGGCCCCGCTGAAGACGAACACGTAGTCGTTCGTGCTGCCGCGGTTTTGCTTGTCACCCGCATCGTCGGCGTCTGCATAGCCGACAGACTCCAGTGTAGTGCAGAGAGCGATCGACCTCTCGCAAGTGGTGTCGCTCCGCACCGCCCGACCGTTCCCCAGCTTGCTGCACACGAAGGCAATGTCCGGTCTAGTCGTCGTCATCGCGAACAGAAGCGAGCCCACCTTCTGTCGCTACTCCTCCTCTTCGCACGACTACGCCTCCTTGAAGTCGAACATCAGCTTTGTGTAGGCGTCGACGGAGACCAACGTCTTTGGTACGTGACCGATCTGCTCCTCGTTGATAAGATGCCGACGCAACTTGTTGACGTAGGACTTATGGTGAAGCCACAGCTTCTTTGCTGGTCGATCGCTTGCTATTTCCATCCCGAGATACTTTTCGACCAGGCCAATTTCGCGCATCTCAAAGGCTGCCTCCAGCAGCTCCTTCAGCCCTTCAGCATCGCGAGGCTGCTGTTGGCGGCGAGCAGGTCGTTGTTGTAGACGAGCACCCAGCACGCAACTCCGTCGTCGCCGACCTTGAAGTAGAGGGCCTCGTCGACCTAGCCGCGCCAGTCAGCACCGCATCGAGCGTTGAGTACCACAACAGCGGCGACTGCTTCAACCCGTAGAGGCTCTTCAGCAGCTTGCACACTCGGCCGGTCCCGTCGTCGCAGTATTCCGGTTAGTACATGTAGAGGATGCGGAGATAACTACTACAACGAGAGCTAGACTACGGGCTAGGCACGGGTGCTCGTGTAATCTCTGCGTTCCTTGGTCCTTAGTCGTTTTCCTAGTGCACACACTGCTTGCTAGTTCACAAGGCAATTTGGCAAGAGTTTCACTAGAGAAAGTTGACAACAATGATACAATGAAGTTGGCAAGGTAGGACTACATCAGAGCTAGCATGCAAGCAAGTCTACTGCCAGCGCAGCACGGTCGACCGCGTGCCAGCACGACTTGGTCGACCGCGCTCCAGCAGCGCAGAGTCGCGGCTTGCCAACACTGCAGGTCGACGACGTGCCAACGTCGCAGGTTGACGGCGCGCCAACGTTGCTCCCGCAGGACAGCAGCGCACCTACTTCGCAGGTGCTTGCAGATGATTGGCGTGCAGTGCCTTGTCACCTGCACAACGCACACACCACATCAACTTCGTGCTGACGACTGCTTCTGATGCACCACGTCGACCTCGGGATACCATCACCAAGGTCGTCCTCGCCAAAACCACCTGGGCGACCATCGCAAGCCTTCGCAGCACCTCGTCACCCAGGTAACCTGGTCGACCGGGCAACCAGGTCGACCAGAGGCTCCAGTGCGTGCCCGTCGACCACCCAGGTCGACAACCACTTCCGGTCGACCTCCCAAGGTCGACCACTGCCTCTGGTACGTGCCGGTCGACCTCCCAAGTCGACGGCCACCTCCAGTCGACCTCCCCAGGTCGACCACTATCCCCTGGTCGACCAGCTCCAAGTCGACGTCACTCCAGGTCGACCAGAAGGCCTGGTCGACTTACCAGGTCGACCAGAAGGTCTGGTCGACGTCCCAGGTCGACCAGAAGGGGTTGGTCGACGTCCCAGGTCGACCAGCCGAAGTTGGCGCCCTCCCGAAGTCGGCGCCCATGCAGTGGCTCCCCGTGCAGGTCGACCAACCTCGTCGACCAACTCGCCCACTGCTGCAGGTCGGCTGCACCCCTACATCCGACCACGAAGTCGGCTCCGCCCAAGCGAGGACGGGGCCACACAACAACTCCCGTTGACAGAGGACACGGCCGAGCTTGCTCTACAGGAATGTGTTCTTCATGTCGAGCTGCATCAGGTGCAGGTCGAGGACTGCTACAATACTGAGGAAGATCCTCAGAGTTACGTAGCTCCTCACCAGCGCGTACATCTCGTCATAATCTGCGCCATAGACCTGCGTGAAGCGTTTCACGACTAGGCCTGCCTTCTCGCAGGCGACTGTGTCGTCCATGTGGTACTTCGTCATGAGCACTCTGCTTCAATCTCGCCCTAGCAGCACATCCCAACCGTCCAGTGTTGTCGCCAGCATCTTCATCAAAAACCTGAAATTGTCGCCACACTTCATCCGAATTTGTCGCACCTCGTCTTGTATCGTCAGTGGTGTCCCATCCACCAGCCTCGCGTCGATCTTCGGCAACACATGTCCAGCTTAACTCCGATTTTTTTTGTCGTTGTCAGGTTGACGAGACTGTGGCTCGCCCCACCGTCAACGAATATTTTGTTTTTTAGTCGTTAACCCTTCCCATGACCAACACAAGCTCATCCACGTGTTCATCCACTTTATTCGTCCGGTTGCGGTCGATAGCCCCTATCGTTACCATTACGCGATGTCGATGGTGATTGTCGAGTGACAGGGTCTCGTCAGAAGGTGGCCCGACCGCTACTGACTCGTTCCTTTTCCCGACTCCTCTCTGTTCCCCTGCTTCAGCTTTGGGCAGTCTTTCCTCCAGTAGCCAGGTGGGTTGCAGTTAAAGCACGTGTTTGGGGCACGTCTTGGCGCATCGACACCGTTGATCGTGGGCTGGCGAGGCGGTCCACAAAATTGATTTCCCTTCCGGGAACTCATTCTCGCCCACTTTATCAGTGCGTCCGTTAATTCGGCAAGCTGGACGGCATCGTTGAAAGTCGCGTGACCTTGTCCGTCGCACCTCGTACTGAACCTCGTATTTGAGGCCTGCGACGTAACGATCGAGCCACTCCGCGTCACTCATGTCGTCCACTTGGTCGACCATGTCGTCCACTTGGTCGGCCATATCGTCCACTTCGTCGGTTAAGGCGCAGAACGTCGACGTGAAATCTTGGACCGATGTCACCTGCTTCCAGGCACGCAGCTTCATGCGAGCAGAATCCGATGTGGATACGTGTTCGAATCTGGTTCGCAAGGCTGCGCCCCACTCCGTCCATGTGCGTATCGTGGCCACTCCGAAGATCGAGGTTGCTTGTTGCGTGACAGGTGTCCAGGTCCCGTCGTTCGCACGTGATATCCCTGTCGAAGGTTCCTCTGACAGAAGCGTGCGACTCCACCACTTCAACGCTGTTCCTCATAACATCGACACTGCAAAATTAATGCGGGTGTCATCATCAGCAATATGCGCAACATTAAAGAAAACCTCCATTTTGAATAACCATGCAGACACAGTGATGCCTTTGTCGCTGAGGTTGAACGGGGGGGGGGGGGGGGTTGTCGGCTTTATCTTGACAGTTGTAGAAACTGCTGCTGCCGCATGCACTGTGGGTGGCATCGAAGTCATTGCCGGAGTTGTCGCTGGTGCCCGTCTTGGCATTGTTTGCGACTGCTGTCTCGGCGTCGCTCGTGTCTGTTGCTGTTGCTTTGGCGCTTCTTGTGCCTGTTGCTGCCGTGCCATTCACTCATCTTCAGCGTCCACGGGGCCCTGTAGCTCGCTGAGTACGTTGCCGTCGAGCGATGAACAGCTACTTGCTCCGTCCACGATGGGCGATTCCTGGCGCGCTTCACTTCGCGCCTGGCGTAGTTCGGCTTTTTCCACCCTCAGGCGCTCCACCTCGCCAGACATAGTCTACAAGTTGGCCTGCATCGTCCGAAATTCCTGTATGAACGCGTCAAACTCAGCCCGATTCATGTTTCTTAGGCTCATCCTAATGGGCAGGGGGTTTACAACGATTTCTATGACTCTGATGAAGGCGCAAACTGTCGGAATCAACAGACAGGAATGATTGAACTAGCAGTGAAATCAGTACAAGTACCTAACCCTAGAATTGTGTACCCCCTATAGGCTAACCCACTGTAGCCTAAACAAACACAACATATATAATGTTTGACACAAACATTAGCGTAGTCGGGGCGAATAATTGTATCTGTTTCTAAGCTGACCGCTTTGCAGCCCACCAAGTATAACGCACCACTCCATTAAACAACCCCGGAAACGCGAGGGTAACCTAGAAATGTAGCTATGATACCGAGTGTTTTAAGTTGTACGAAAGAAGAGCGCAGAATTGATTACATCTACTCAGCAAATAATGAGACCTAGCACAGATATAGCGAAGGGTAGCTAGGCCGAGGTCGCGGGACCGCGCGGTGCAGGTTTGGGGTTGGGAAACCCGAAGGCGACACGAAGGACGTTCGGAAGGCGAGGTCGTCAAACCGAGCCTGAACTCCGAAAGTTGGAGTTGTACGCGTATGAACAGCCTGAGTAAGGAATTAGGCAAAATTCCTTGCAATTTCCATTGCACAGCAACTGTGGTGGCATTGGCAAAGGCGGTAACCAGAAAGAGTCTGACCCTTCATTGATAGCACAAATTTTAAAGTACCACGCCCTAGCTGTCTTCTAGTACCATTCAAAATATTTGACTCGCCCAGTAGTAAACCCTAGATTCAACTACTGCATGCCGTTAGGAGGCTATTGCACCATGATCTAGGAGTTACTGGTGGATGCTAGCGTCTTCCTCACCTGTCTCGTGTTTCCTGTTATGCCAGTCCACGGCCTACTGCGTTGAGTCACTAACGCATCGTATTGCTCAGCACAGGTCCCTCGCTCGCCAGCCGCCACGAATCCCTCACTCTTCCGCATCAGCTCGTCTCCCCCTCTCACCCCCCGCAGTGCCTCACCCCAGTCTTCCCGTGCGCCAGCGCCCGTTAGCGCTGCGCTGCGCGCATCGCCCATCACCCCATGCACCACGACCCATGCGCGCCTCTCCCGCCAGCCCGCTCGCATCCCGCGCGCCCTGCGCGGGTCTCCAATCTCTCCTCCGCGCTCCGCGCCGCTGCCCCCGCCACCGCTGAGTCGGCAGCTTTCGGTGCGGGAAGCGAGCCTGCAGGCGCAGGCGCGGCGGAAGCAGGTGGTAGCGCAGAGGTCGCGGAGGGAGGGTCGGGCGGGGGCGGGGGGGCGGGTCACGCGGGTCAAGGCGGAGTGGGCGGGTTTTCGGCGGAGTCGCAAGATTTTTGGGTGGTGAAGCACGGGTGGGGTTTGCCTACGGGCGTGGCGCGGGGATTAGGGTTTACGGCGGCGCAGGCGGAGGCGGCGGCGGCGACCGGCAGGGAGGTGGTGGCGCCGCGGGGCGCGGGCAAGATGGCAGCTCCAGCGGCGATGGCGCTGCATTCCGCGGGGGCACACGGCGCGCCGCACAGCGCGCACACGCACGACGCGGCAGCGGCGGGGCTGACTAGCGGAGGCAGCGGCAGCGGTGGCGACGGGGAGTGGAGCGTGCTGAAGGAGTTCCGGCGGTGGCGCAAGGAGGATCCGACGACGGCGGTGGCGGTGGCGGCGGTGAAGGCGCTGACGGCCGTGATCGAGCGCAGCGAGGCGACGACGGTGATGGGCCTCGAGGTGGAGCTGCGACGCGCGTGCGACGACCTCAAGGTGCGCCGCGCGAAAGTGATGGCGCTTGGGGTGACGCGGGGATGGCAGGACGGGACGGGATGCGTGGCAAAGGGGGATGGTAAATGGGAGTGAGAAGAGCAGCGAGGAGAGGCTCCGGGGGCTCATGGCGTGTACGCAAACCTGATTGTCCCTCTGCCCCTCGCTCATCATCCACGCCGTGCCTCTCTGCGCCCACCCCCCCCCCCACTACGCGTGGCCGCGGTGGCAGCGCGAGAGCAGCGGGTGCATATCGCTGCGCGCGGCGTGCGACATCTTCCTGTGCTTTGTGAGCCGCACGTCCGTGGAGGCGGACGACCTGCCCGCCGCCAGGGCGCGCCTCATCGAGCGCGGCCAGCGCTTCAGCGGCATCTCCCTCAACGTGCGCTCCCATCCGTGCACGCCGACTCCATGTCACCACTGCCCCTCCTTGCCCCCTCCTCCCTTGCCGTCTGCCTCCTGTGTGTGCTTCTCCTCTCTCTCCTGCCCGTCTTCCTCTCCTCGCCCTCTGCTTCTCCAGCTCGTTGCTTGCTGCTTGCTGCGTGCTTGCTCCCTCAGCTCTCACCTGCGTGCCTCCCACGTGTGCACTTGTTCTCGCGTTCACGCTGCTCCCATGCCCCTTCTGCATCCCTGCCTCCCCCTGTTGCGTGCCACCACGCGACACCATGGTCATGGGGGAGCAACAGGCGCGGCGAACGATAGCGATGCTGGGGCAGGAGTTCATCACGGACGGCTGTGTCATCCTCACACACGGCTTCTCCCAGGTGCCCCGCCCGCCCTCCCCTCTCCTGCGCGCACGCCCTCCCTGCTGGTGCACGTGCACGGCGGGCAGCAGCGGCGCGCTCTGTCATGCACGTACACCCTCACGGCACCACCATGCTCGCTAGCCTCTCCCTCCCCCTCCCCCCCCACCCCCCCACATCCGCTCGTCCCTGTTCTCACCGTGCTTTCGCTGTGGATGTGAAGTGAAGCCGTGGATGGAGGCGGCAAGGATGGTCATGGCAGTGCACATGCCGGCCCCCCTCCCTGCCCGTGCGTGCTCCCCTCCCCCGCAGGTGGTGCTGGCTCTGCTGTCGGAGGCAGCTGCTCGCGGCAAGTTCTTCTCCGTCATTGCCACCGGTGCGCTGCCTGCTGGGGGGGGCACATCGCCCCCACGCGCACACACACACAGACGCGCGTGCGCGTGCACCCACACATACACGGGCTCTCTCCGCGCGCGCGCGCACACACACACACGCAGACATGCACGCACACATGCACGCACGCACGCACGCGCGCACAACCAACCTTTCCTCCCCCCATACACACACGTGTGCCCACACACCCACACACCTGAGCACCCACCTTCGGCACACACACCCCCACAGACGGACACACCCACCCACACACACACACACGAGCGAGCACACACACATACCCCCTCTCCCCGCTCCACACATGTCCACGTCCACGCACGTTCACATATGTAACCACACAGGTGCACTTGCACACTTGCGATTGCATACCCAAGAGGTTTCCATAATCCGCACTTCCTCATCCTCAGTCCCTCAACCCAACCTTTCCCTCCTCTTTTTCGCACCCCTCTCTATTCTCCAACCTGGCGGCGCCGAAGTATGAAGTTTCATGTGTTGTTGGCACCACAAGCCCGGCATGCACTGCATGCACGAGGATAGAATATCACCGGCTCTACTCATTGCAACTCCTGCCACCCACTCATTTCATCACTTCCCCATCTTATGCGCCCTTTTTTCGGGTACAAGTTAGAATAGCAGTGACTTCCTTGATCATTTCATCTAACCACCGCTGACCCGTGCCATCCATGAATCCGCCCCAACCACACCACCCACAGAGGGCCGCATGGATGCAGCGGGGCAGCGCATGGCAGCGCAGCTGCAGCGTGGTGGTGTCCCAGTGACCGTGGTGGTGGACGCAGCCATGGGCGTGGCCATGGAGCGGTGCGACATGGTGCTGTGCGGTGCCGAGGGCGTGGTGGAGAGTGGCGGGGTGCTGTCGGCGGTGGGCGTGTTCCCCCTGGCCATGGTGGCCAAGGCCATGGGCAAGCCCTTCTATGTCGCCGCTGAGAGCTACAAGGTGTGTGCTGCTGCTTCCCCACACGAGGTGACTATTGAGAATTCTCAAATGCCCCACACGAGGTGACTTTTGGTTGAGTCGACTCAAAAGTCAAATGCCATGGGCAAGCCCTTCTATGTGGCTGCTGAGAGCTACAAGGTGCGTGCTGCTGCCGCACCAGCCCTGCGGGGGGGGAGCCGCTGCAGGGGTGGGCAGAGGGGGTGCGGCATGCAGAGATGCTGTGGCGTTGTGGGTGGTCCATGGGACAAGGATTGACCATGTGGACGAGGACAGCGAGGCAGAGGGACAGGGGTTTAACGAGAGGAGAGAGGGGAGGGGCGGGAGGGGCGGGAGGGGAGGGAGGGGAGGGAGGGGCGGGAGGGGAGGGAGGGGAGGGAGGGGAGGGAGGGGAGGGAGGGGAGGGAGGGGAGGGAGGGGAGGGAGGGGAGGGAGGGGAGGGAGGGGAGGGAGGGGAGGGAGGGGAGGGAGGGGAGGGAGGGGAGGGAGGGGAGGGAGGGGAGGGAGGGGAGGGAGGGGAGGGAGGGGAGGGAGGGGAGGGAGGGGAGGGAGGGGAGGTGGGGTGAAGAGGTGGAGGTTCACAACTGCAGTCAAAATGTTGGAGGCTCCTGGTTTAATGTTGCAGATTAAAGAAAACAGGGAGGGGTGTGGAGGTCGCAGAAACAGCGGGTAAGGGATGAGTGGGGTTATGGAACAAGGCAAAGAGGGAAAGTGTCTTTATGCTGCCTTCACGCTCCTGTCTGTGCACTCATCTCCTCCCTCGTCTCCCTCACCTGCCTCCTCCGCACCCCTCCACCCGTTGACAACAGTTTGCGCGCATGTTTCCGCTGGATCAGAACGACTGGGAGCAAGGCATCAGCGCACCGCCCTCCGTCACTCGCCCTCCAACCTCCCTCTCTGCTGCTGCTGACTCAGCAGCAGCAGCAGGCGTGGTGGGGGCAGAAGCAGCGCCGGTGGGGCCGAAGAGGGAGTATGCGCCACCGCACGTGCTGACGCTGCTGTTCACGGACCTGGGCGTGCTCACCCCCGCGGCTGTCAGTGACGAGCTCATCCAGCTCTACCTTTAACTCACCACCTCGCTCCCTCCCACTGCTGCACGCTGCTGCTTGCGCACCGCAATAGCGATGCGCGCACCGTGTTATGAAGTCAAACAACTCAATGCTTCGCACCCACCAAGAGGGGAGAGTTTCCCCGGTAGTACCTCTTTTAGATGTGGAATCGTTTCCTATGGAGCTCCGCAATTTCTGAGAAAAATGCCCCCTCTACTTACTTTACAGAACAGTGGGCTTCCATCCAGGTTAGATTATGACAACAGCAGTAGGTTGGTCTGCCTGAAGTTGGACCGGTATAGAAAGCTCTTGTAAAAGTACAGCTACAGCGCACTGGCCCTCGTAGCATGTGACACATTGTACTGCGACCTGTTTAACAAGTATGGTATGGTAGGCGAGTGTAAACGTTTAGGTTCGGCCACTGATACTAGCATCAATCTACTAATCACTATAGGAATAAATACTCCTCAACCTACACTAGATGTACTGTAGTACCAGTACAATGAGTACACACGATTTCCCCCCACCCCTTCATGGACAAGGCAGCACTGATCACAGCAAGCTCTAGAGTGTCGCTTTTACTGTTGGCACGAGGCAAACGGGCTGTCACTTGTTGGCGTCGATCCACTTGAGAATCTCCTTCTCGTTGTCTGTCAGCTTGTCCTCCCTCTTCACCTGCAGTGTGCCCTGTGCCACGCATGACGCAAGCGATAGGTGAGGCATGGGGAGAGGAGGATGGGAAGGTGGGGAGCATGTGTGTGTGCCTGAGGGGCAAGAAAGAGGGGGGAGATAATGTGCAGAGCGGTGGAGCAGGGATTGGAGGCAGGCAGCAAGCAGTGGTGCAGGAGCCCAGAGATCCACTGCAAGTGAGAAGAACCCCCTGCAATCATCCCAGGCTTGCATCCCGGCTGCCCCAGCCGCCCCATCAGTGCCATGGGCAGGGCGCTGCATGGGGCATGAGCGCATTGCAGGGGGCATGAGCGCATTGCAGGGGGCATGAGCGCATTGCATGGGGCATGAGCGCATTGCATGGGGCATGAGCGCATTGCATGGGGCATGAGCGCATTGCATGGGGCATGAGCGCATTGCATGGGGCATGCGCGCATTGCATGGGGCATGAGCGCATTGCATGGGGCATGAGCGCATTGCATGGGGCATGAGCGCATTGCATGGGGC